GAACGCGAGAAAAGTGTGCAAAATAGAGAGCTGACAAGCAGGTAAAAAAAGTACACAGCGAGACAGTACATTATAATAGAAATACAAAAAAAACCCAAAACTGTTATACGAATGTTGACATTTCTACACACTATAAGTACACACAGTGTAAAGATCTGCTTATCCGCTTAGCCAAACGAAACAGAAACCAACAAGTCAACAAAACAATTGAAAAGTACTTAACAATAATAATAATAATTAATAGCATTTGTATAGTGCATACCCCCGCTTGACAGCAAGCTGTATGTGCTTTTTACTGTAGTAGGCCTATTACCTCAGCAAACACTAACATTCTCGGCTTCCCAGGAAGCATAATATAATGTAGGCCATCATCATCACTATCTCATTAGCTTCTGTTCTCAAAATATTTCACGTCAGTGCTCAAGCTCTTTGCCTCAGCTAAGAAAAACACACAAGGTGACATGCACTGAAAAGTTGGAATAACGCTCAATAAGTCATCATCACCAATGCCTTTCACCCCTGGCAGGGTATAGGCCACATACAAGCTCCTTCCATTTATCTCTGTCCTGAGCCATCCTTCCAAGCTCGCTCAATAAGTACAAAACATTTAAAGTTAAAACCAAAAATATACCAGAAAAAACAAAACAAAAACAAACCCACAGCATGTTGCGTTTTTGAACATCGACTTCACTCATCAGAATCATGGAATGACAGAGCACTGGCACTGGCAGCACTTAGTAAACAAAACAAAACAAAGTTCTTTCCTAATCCAATTGTTCAGTACAAGACTTTTTTTTCAAAAGGAATAAAAAACCACAGGTGGGTAAACTAAAAGTGGATTGATCTGGTAATTTAACCCTATCCATATGTCTTGGGGTCATTTTGTACACCTGGGGTTGTATTCTTCACATTTTAGAATTCCTCTAGTGTGAAGATCTCTTTGAAACTTTCAGTATTTCTCAAAAAATCATTTTGACAGACTGCTGTGCAAAGCGTACGGATTGGATTAATAAGTAAATTTTCTTTTTGGAAAGTGGTGGCACAAAGTTCCCCACGTCGTATGGACACGATAGTAAAACACGACATACAGATAGGGTTAAGAGAGATCGCTCAAGTCACTACTGATGGGGATTTTAGATTAAAGAGCTAATAATAAGTCTAGGTTCTTAGAACACAATGCAAGGTGTAGGTGTTGCAATTGCAGTTATTTGTAATGTACTTAGAGTGTTCTTTAATCTGGGTTGAGTGTAATATAAACGTCATGTACTTTAATTATCCTGCACTTCTACTAATTAACGGTTGTGACAATGGCTATACTACGAGTACAACAAAGTTGAAATATTCCTTCACAAACTTCCACCTTTTTTTTTACAACTGTTCTCTAGGAACATCAGCTAGTAGGGCCTACTAATAATAAGCAGATGGAAAACACATGGCAACAGGCAACACCCCTATTTGGTTTCTCTCTTCTTCCCCCGTTTCCTTTCTTAGTTCACCCATTGCGGTACAACATTCTCCACAAATTACACCAAATGCCGAAGAAAAAATCAGTCACAAGTTGCACAAATAGCGATGGACTAACCACTGATCAGATACTCATACAGTAAATCATCTACTGAGAAAAATCAATTAGAAGCTGAGGTGTAAATATTTTAGGTTAGTCACCACCTTGGTAGGCCTACTCAGTTCTGAGAAATCTGGGTTTGTTTGAAGTTGAGACTTTTTCTTTTCTCCACTGCAGGTGATATTAAGAAATCATTATAACAAAAGAAAGTGGCTATTCTCACCCGCCCGGAAGTTCTCGCAAGATCAACTCCTCCCCTCTTCTCTCTCTCTCTGTCTCTTTCTGAATACTGTCTATCGGTGTGGACGATCAAATTGACCAAAACAAAGTTAAAAAATGATGTTAAAACACAAAAGTAAATTAACTTGGTTGTCTACAAAGATGCTACGGCTATTTAACTTTTCGAATCGAGCCGAACTACGCGGGAAGCCATTTTGTTTTGCCCGGAAATTCTCGCGCTACTCCTCTCTCTCTTTCTCTCTCTCTCTCCACTGCCCACAGACAAAATTGTACGCTTTTAGTAAGCTACAGTTGTAATGGAACGTTTGTTCACGGACGCGCACCGGGTGAGAATAGCCACAAGACTCGCCTGCACTATTCTCACTCCGGGTGAGAATAGAGGTGGCCATAAAAAAAAACCACATTTATTTTTTTTACAAGTATTTCATTTTCAGAACATATAAATTAAATATGATCGAATATGATGTTGAATTCCTTACCCATCAAAAGTAAATTTTTCACTTTAATTGACAATATCTCCGCTGAGCTAAGTGACCAGAGACAAGATAAGGTACATCTCTATTGTCCAAATCCTGGCACATGAGACATGGGTCTCAACTCGGAATTCTAAAAAAGGAGGAACTTTTTGGGTGATCGCCACAGAAGCCCATTTTAGCGAAACACCCATTATTATTATACTGTTGAACCCTAGAATGCTGAAATAAAAACAATCAATTTATCAAAGCAAGGTTATTTCACACCAATTTGAGGGTTTGGGAGATAATTTCAAGCAAGAGTCATGTACCAAATATTTACCACCTTGATTACGTGCAGAAAGTGGTGGCGCCTGGGATCTTGTGCGACTTATTTATATTTTCCCTTCATCATACTCGCCTGTATAAACTATATAAAAGGAATATTGTTTTGAGCCTAGAACCAGAAAATCGACAGTCATGATTCATATAATCATATATTATAATAATATATATATAATAAACGAGAAAGACAAAAATTAATGCTCAAACTCAAAGTAGAGTAGAATAGACCAAGCAGACCTATTCAGGGTAAGAGGTGTAAGAACTGTGGGAAGGCAAGATGCAGTGATACTGAACATCTGCGAATCTTGAACAGAAAGCTAAAATATAGAGTTCTAATTTACTGTCACCAATCCAATGAAACGCGAACACTTAGGCCCGTAAGTTCCATAACATTAACACGCTTACAAGTTATGACGGTTCCCAATTTCACACAAGGCCTGCACCAACGCACACTTTACTTTGCAGAGAGCTGTAGATCTAGTAGTAATCAAACTTCTAAACATTAAACATTTGCTTTCAGTTTCAGTTTGTCCTTTGGTGTTGCGCCCAGCCCTCCCCCTATCTCGGAGTGCGTCTGTTAAAAAAATCAATAATCTCCCCCATTCCCGAGTCCTGTGCTTTGAAGCGCTCAGAACGCGCGCAGGTTCATTGACCGGTCACAATGGCGAGCCCGACAAGTCGCTTGTATAACTTTCTTTTCGGTTTTTTTCTTTCTTGGTTTTACCCCCACAAGTGACAGCAGGGTGACAAATATTGATTTATTTTCATGGCGGCACCACGTTTGTAATGCCGAACCCGCATGTTACAATAAATGTTGCGTTATCAGACAATTACTGACAAACTTCTGGGTGGTAACGAAAGCCAAAGTAGATCTTGATTTTCCAGTCGAGCCTTGGTGACACAATTCCGCTTGACGCCAAAGCCACCAGTTCGCGTGAAACGTACTCTCAGAGCCGAATTAATATCACAATCGCGACCGGCAGAAATGAACTTAACGACGTTATTGGATTTGGTTTTCAAATATTCGAGATCTTTTATGTATTTTCTCGGGTCTCGGCGATATTTTTTTAATTCACGGGGCCTGGCAGTCACCCTGCTCCCAAAAACTCTCTTTCTGATTGGCCCGCCGCCGCGGTAGCTGACTTTAGCGGAGGAAATGGCGGTAGCGGAAATCCGCTAAATAGCGGACTATTGAGACCCATAATGAGACCAATTCTCCAGTGGTACCTCATATTTCTACACCTATAAACCAGAGATCAGGTAGAAAGTATGACAGGGGGCATCATCATACTCCGATCATTCTCCAGAACCTTTCCTCCTCCTCACTCTTCCTGTCCCGGTTGAAAGCTCAGCGAGTATCATGGTATAAAGACAAGAGCTATGTAAGCAGGAGGCTGCTATACAAACGTTATAATAGAATATACAAACAAGTCCGCTTAAACAGAACATGATCAATCCGAAATTACGGTACGTAAACTGAAAGAAGATTGAATTTATCTCCGATCCCCCCCCAATATTACTATTTGAGCAACCTCCCCAAACCAAAAACTCTGGCAGACTTGAAGATTTCCATTTCAGCAGACTCCATTGTATTTGTAGCATATATATATTCCTACAGACAGCTTACTGCGCTAGTGTTGTAAATAATTTTTGAAAACAACAACAAAAACAAATAATGAATGTTCCCAATTTCCAAGCAGTTGAAAACCAACAGCAAAAACCTCACTCCCTTTCCAAAACAAATTCAGTTCAATTAATCATTACTGTTTAAAAGAACACCAAAAAACAATACAAAACACATGGAGTTGGACCAGCACACTTACAAAAAAACCAGTTCATAACCATTACTGCAGACAAAATTTTGATATCATTCCAAAGTTTTATTTGTGAAGAGCAAAAAAAAAATAAAAATCAAACAACCAAGACACACATTATATATATACATCTACAACATCCATTTACATTTTTGCATTTACAAAATTGTAGAAATTCTTTATCAGATGCCAGTAAAGGTGTGTATAAAAAAAAGGACACAAACCTTTTTTCATATTTAAAACTTAAGTGGTTGTCAAAGGAAATGACATTTAAAAAGATTCAGACAAGAGAACCCTTTGCCAAATCAAACGGAGATAGTAAACACATAGAATATTCTTTTCACTTTCTTTTAGTGATCAACTCTAAAAGATATTATTTACACCCCCCTCCCGAGAAAAAACAAAACAAAATGATCAAACTCTTGTTCTACTTAGGTACGATTTCACAACAACCATCTTGTCTTTATTTAAATACTTGTTGAGGAAAAAATAGGAACAACAAAAAAATTTAATAAAAATGAAAATAAAGATAATAATGTTCACAAAAACAAAAATAATAGTGATTTCTCACACTACCTCCGAGTCTCCAGTTTTGTGCAAAGCTTGCTAGATGCTATTTGGTCATGAGCAGGAAAAAAAAAAAGGGGAAAATAACTGATCGAAAAAAGAGCCACCTTTTGGTTGCGACACCAGAAAAAAAATAACATCAACTGTAGGCCTACCTGTTGTTTCGAAAGGGGCCAAGGCGTTCAGCATTTCACAAACACATTCTGTGTACAGCTGACAACTAGAGCCATGAATCGACTTAGCCCACTCCAGCCTATACTGCAATTGCTGCGGTCACAGTTCTATTTCAGCTGCCTACCTTTGCTGTTGCCCCTACCGTTTCTGAGTAAAGAATTCTTTATTATGGTGTTGTTACAGCAGCTGTATTTGAGTCTCTATATATCAGTTAGGCCACAGTCACTTTTTAAAACACACATAGAAATTGCGGGTCCACAGGGGACAGCAATAAGAGACATGGCGGACAGGCAGTGAGTCTGCGATCAATCATAGCAGTGTGAACACTTAACCAAACAGATGGACAGCAAAATGATGCACGACTTATCACTGCAGAAATATTTCTTAAACTGTAAAAAGAAATTAAAGAAAATACAAAATATAAATTTTTCTAACGATAAGGATTTTACAGTGACGCCTTACTTGTTCTTACTCAAAGCGCAATTCAAACAAAAACGACAAATCTGAACCTGAATATTTGGAGAAAAAAACAAAAACAACAACAAACAAACAAACATTTTTTAAATTGTGATGTGAGTATCTGGGTATGCATTCACTCTGATATCACAGCAGCGTCCCAATGCTCCTGTAAAGTTCTGCTTTCCTCAAAGAAACTCCTTGATGGTATCACGCTCTAACCGTGCAACAGGAAGAAACAGGTCAACTTTTTTTTGTTTTGTTCTTAAGCTCTTCCTGCGGTTCACCTGCCAGTCCAAGATGAAAATCAAGAGTCGGCCTGTACTATAAATAGACCTGCAAGCGAACCTTCTCCTATTGCTTCTCTCATCGTTTAAATGAGACGATAGTTGTTTTTTGGGGGGGTTTCTGTTTTTTTGGCAAGGTGAAATTTTTTTCCAAGAAACCAATTACACGGTTAGAAAAGAACACCACTGTTCTGTTCCCACCCCCAGCACACAGCACAGCCATCATTCTAACAAATCGACAGCACGGAATGGTGCGTGCGCAGCGCGGGGCTGTGCTGGCGCACAGACGGCCCGCGGGGGCCTTAGCCGAAGTCTCGGCCGGAGAGGATGGCGGGCGCCACCAGCGTCCAGACGTACAGGAGGATGCTGAGCCAGCTGGAGACAATCTTCACCCAGACCGACGCCATGTTGGCGTTGAGAGTCGTCATGTCAGAGCTTGGCCTGAATGGGGTGGGGGTGGGGGTGTGGGTGGGAGAGGGTTAGGTGGAGGGAGGTGTGGGGAGGGGGAGGGGGGAAACGTGGGTAGCGGAAGAGGGGGAAGAGAAGAGAGTGGTGGAAGGTAGAGGGTTGGTGGGAGTAGGGGCGAGGGTAGAGGGGGTGGGGGGGGGGGTGGTGAAGGTAGAAAGTTGGTGGGTGTAGGGACAAGGGTGGGGGGAACGAGGGTGGGGTGGGGTGAGGGGGAGGTGAAAAGGTAGAGGGTAGAGTGTCGAGAGGAGTGTAGGAAAGTATGTTGGGCGGATGGGTGGGTGAGGGGGGGTAGAGGTTGCGAGGAGGGAGAAGAGAAAATGTGAGTTAAGTTGAGGTTCAAGGCTAATCAGAACAAAGTCGTCAACTTTTCAAAAGGATCAAATTAGAACAGCTTGTTTGTTTCATAGAAAACAAGCACATCGACACAAAAAAACTGTCATTGAGCACTGGGAAAAAGTAAGACAGACAGATGGAAACAACTTAAGGAAATTTTTTTTAAAAGGACGTACCAGCTGCCCCCTCCAATATCATAATAAAATTAATAATACTACATAATAACAATAATAATAAATATCAATATAACTTTTCAAAACTCTCTTCGATTATATAATAATACACATTACATTTAGGGAGGGGGGGGGGGGAAATTTAGTAACTAATAGTTTTGTGGTACTTGCAACACAGTTAGATCATAATATGTGCCGAACATTAAATGTGTCACAATAGAGTAACAAATACAAAAAAGAAGAAGAGAAGATTCATGTTGAACAGAGCAGCAAACCACACCAGAGCACCCATCAACCACCCACTCACATTACTTTTCAGAGGCAATTCCAGATTTTAGGAAGTTTTTTTTAGTAAGTGTTTTACGGCACTTGCAACACAATAAGGTCATATAGGTGCCAAAGATTAGAGGTGTCACAAGAGAGTAACAAATACAAAAAAGAAGGAGCAAAGATACGGACGATAGATGTTTGATAGGAAAGAAGAAGCAAACCACACCATAGCACCCATCAACCAACCACATAGGAAGAAAAAAGCTCCCCCAACCAACTTAATAAACCAACAAAAAAGCTTATTAAGTGTTGAGAAAGCAAGACTGAGAGAAAGAAACAACTGAGGGATAGATAATGTACCCAAAGGGGGATGGGTTTTTATGTTTTGCACATTCTTTTTCTTGTAAATGTTTTAAATTTGCAATTTGAGCACCTAGTGTCATGTGTCTTCACGCAGTAGCACCCTTTTTCACGTTTTGAGAACAACTCAGATATATGCAAAATTTCTTTTAGAAATTGAGAAAATCATGACTATACTGCCGTAAGCTGACAAAATGCCTTTTTTTCATCACAGCAGTTTCGAGAAATAGAAGTTTTTGTCAGCGTAACCATTTAAAAACAGAGCGATTCCGAAAATTGAATTCTAGTTTATTCAAGAACTAGTCACAGTATCACTTTGATTTTTTCACAAAAGTAGGGTAACTGATCAGGCTTTTTTTAAGCAAATACAAAATTTTGGTGTCAAAATGAAAAGAAAAAAAAGGCATTTTGTTGGCTTACGGCAGTATGCCACATGACACTGCGAAAGGGGAGGTAAGCTAGATAAACCAGTGCCATGACTCACTTGAACCAGTTGGTGAGGGTCATCATGACGTAGAGCGCAGCCAGGAACAGCATGAAGTGGTAGAAGCTGTACGAGTAGGCCACGGCCTCCTCCTCGTTGTCCCACACCTTCTGGCCCGTCTCCGCGTCGCCCTCGCTGTCAGAGCTGCCTGTGGACGCGATGACAAACGAATATTATGGGCTTGAGTTGGGGGGTTTACCGCTGGCCCGTTTGTTTGCTTGTAAAAGAAAAGTAAAGAGCAGAGGGTGCCAACCGGCTATGAAAAAATTCTGAGTGTCTCGGATCCCGTGAAAATTTGCATGCAGAGGGACGCAATATGGCATGCAAACAGAGATCAAGATCAAAATCAAAATAAATGTTCTAAAAAAATCAGTACCTCTGTAAAGAAAAGTCCATCAACAACACAATAACTGTCATTTCAAGGTAGGACAGAGGAACGCAGTGCTGCCTGTGCACTGACCAGAAAGTGAGGAGGAGGGAGGGGGAGGGTTGAGTTGTGGTACCGTTTACTGCTAGTTAGTTAAAAATTGTCCGTTTGAGCAAAGAGAAACACACAGACACAATAAGCGTCATTCAGTGCTGGGAACAAGTAAGAAAGACACACAGAAATGGAAGAGGGAAAGGAAAAAGACGTAGAGCCTGCGAGGGGGGACACCCCCCCCCCCCCAGCCTCCCCCTAACCCAAAGCTCAAATCAGCCCAAAAATAAAAAATAACCAGTTCATCTGACGTGACAAACAAACATGCTGACATGAAATAAAACAGTCACTTAAGTTTAAAAGTTGGGGGAAAAAGCGAGACAAAGAGACAGAAACAACTGAGGGAAGGTAAAGAAAATAGAACCTATATTATGTGGCACCACTGAACCACCAGCACTTATAGTTAAGGGAACATAACAGCTTTGGGGGGGGGGGGGTGTCAAACAAATCCAGGGTTGGTCCAACTCAAAGCATAAAGTAAAAACATTTACTTACTAAACTGATTCCGAAAAAACCCCAAAAAACAAGAAAAACAAGCCAGAGACCCACTGAGAACAACGGGTACGGTGCACCACCAGGCCATCAAAGTGACCCAATTTTCACCCAAATCAACAAAGTCACCACAAAAAGCGACAAAAAGAAAGCACAGAAAAGGCCTTATTTTTTGTCTTTTGGAAGTACAGTTAAGTCCTTCCTATTGGTACAGCGTGCCAGATGCACCCTAATTTTTCACAGGATTTTGTACCTTTGTCAGAAATGTGTATATTTTACAGAGTTCCACAGATATATATATATATGAACACAATGTAAACTATACATTTTAAAAACCCGTACGTAGACAAAAGGATGAGAGCTGCCAACACAAGGGTGTGCTAGTCAGCCACTTCAAACTGACGACTGTTGTTTGGGACACAAGACAAAACACACAGGAGAAGAAAGAAAGAAGAACAAAGCCCTACAGGAGTCCACTGCTCATTAACTAAACTTTACACAGCATAAAGAGCTTATCCCCACTACACTGGCCTACACTATATATCCACTCATTCACTCCGTAAGTTTTCTACCCGTCGGAACATAGTTTTTTTTCATTGGCAGGCACCTGTTTCGTTTTTATATATGTTTAGTTTTGTCTACTGATTCTCACCTATTAATTTTGCAAAGTATACCATAATATATAAAAGAAAGGAAATTACCAAGGGGAATTTGAATCCCTCCCCCCCTCCCCCCGACAAAAAAAAAAAAAGAAGAAATTAAATAGTTTGATCAAAACATGGGCTTTATTCCCAAAATCCTGTACATGACCAGCCCGAATATTTAGGGGCATAGGCCTACAGCCAAACCGGTTATACAGCTTGCCGTAGAGACAAGGAGAATATGGGGCCGGTTAGTCTGTCAGCCGGCCTTGGTGAATTAGCTACGGTCTCACGAGGGCAGTTTTCGACCACACAAATAACGAAAACCTCACTGGCACAGAACGTGCAGAAATGAGACATGCCGAGAGCAAAAACTAATGTATTGTAAAAAAAATAATTATATCACAGACATATTTTCGTAGTAGGCACTGGATATAGTGATAACGCCTTACTTTTTTCTTTAATTCATTCGGATAGCAACTGGACTAAACACATCCGAAAAAACGAACAATTCGTTTATAAAGCACGATGAACATGTGCACATAGACTGATTGATGTGGAGTGAGCAAAGTGAAAGCTATTGACAAACAAACAAGAAAGCATCCAATTGCTAGCATTTCGTGAAAAGGGTAAAATCCTTGCTAACAAAAAGCAGAAATACTCAAACTCGTCAACAATAACAATACTCTAAACAGAAAATAACAATTAAATGGTACTTCATCTATCTTGGCCGACAGATTCACTGTCTTCACAATTTCAGAGCTAACAACAACCTGTTAATACAAATGCAAGAGTTTACGAATACATTCCTAAATCTTGTGGTAGGGTGTGCATCCCAAACTTTCTGCACTGATGGCATAACTAAAGCCAGGACAAAAGAAATAAGCCCACACTTGACCTAGCTGTACCCATATCGTCAGTTTGTTTGTGTTTTAGTGCATGTAATCAGCAGCTTGCACTGTTTGCTTCCCGCACAGCCGAAAATGTTTTTGAGTGTTCTAGTAGGGACTGCCGGGCTAATAATAGTAATAGTAGTAAAACGCATTGAGCATGCTGTAGAGTGTGGATTTGCCCTATAAAAACGCAGGTATTATTACTGTTTTTATTATTATATTAAGTCCAACAAAATCTCTCACACACAAACACGCGACATATAGAAAAAGCGGTGCTGCTACATTACTAGTGTGAGTACAACATGAAGCAGACTAGGAGCAGCAATGCAAGCTTATTAACAAATATTTTGGGTTAAAATTGTCCAAGACAGCCACCCAGCATCCAGGAGAAAAGAGGCTATGTATTGGACAGTATCCTTAATTTCTATAATGTGGGGGTGGGGAGGAGGAGTGGGAAGTGGTCATTGTACAGCAGGTGATTGTCTTGGACAGGTGGCCATTAGAGCAGGTTCGACTGTAATGAGAATTCAAAGATGCGAAACAAATCCATAAAAAGGAGAGTAGAAGAAAACAACGGAAATATGAAAGAGAAAGACCTGGTAAAGGTATTCCTGAGCCTTTGGAGACGGTGAACACTGAAACAGCAGGGAGGGAGGGAACTCAAAAAAAGAACCTTCACGCTTCTACCACAGCTTCCACACTCACAGGAATATAATTTATAGTACCCATAAACAAAAACGCTCTCGACTCGATGGACCTGGGCCCACACTTCAGACTGGTGACCCTACTGAGCACTGAACGCACACCCGAGCAAAGTGTGGTGTTTGTTTAGCAGTTAACCCAAAAGAGCTCTGAATGATGGGCTTAGGAGGAGGGGCTCAAAGGGTTAGGAACCCCCACGCACTTTATACTCTATACTTTATAATCAATCTTTTCATCACTGTCTGAGCTCATTACTGAGATTCCTCCAATGTAACCCACTCTGCAATGATTACGAATGCCTTGAGAGTGTGGTTTTTTAAATATTATAATGTCACCAACAGGAATCTGGTGTGATGTTTCTAAAACATTTCACTACATATTTGGGAAGAAACTTTCAACTTGCTTTAAAGCATTTGGTCTTCATATATTGTATTTCTCTAAACATGGACGCAGACACTTCTTCTGCTAGCTATATATATGTATGTCTTCTTGAGACATTTGAGAGAACCACAGGCAATAGAAATTTTGGTTCTAAGCTATTTGATACCACATACACAAACAAACAAAACCATTAAAAAATACTATACTATAGAACCTCCTGAAAGCTAAGGAACAAAGTAAAAACGTTTAATGAAGGAGACAGCTAAAGACTTGGAACATATAATGCACGGACAACACAGTGATGGTCATGATCATTATATGGTATAGAAATATTGTACTGGTCATGGAATGAGATAACCTAACCATTGGAATCTGTTATATTTATTTCCATCTACAACAAAAGGACTGAGACAAGTGGCCTGGCAGATAAGAGAACTCCTCAAACAACAAGAAATGAGAACACCCTGTTAGTGATTTAGTTATATTCCTACGTGTGGCCAGCACTGCGACGTAGCTAATAAGGGCACACCCACAATAACAGCCAATGTTTCTCATCTAAAAAAGAACAAGACTACAGACACAAGTTGGCCCTACCAAGCTGATGGGAAGAAAGACTGGAACTCACTGTCTGGTAAATTAAGAGAGATCAAATCTTTTACTTTTAATTCATTCAAAAGAAGTCATTTAAGCTCTTAGACTAAAAAAGTATATCTAGATTTTTTGTCAAAACACAGCATTCTGCTGCTTATGTTATTTGTTTTTGAGTAGTGCCCAGAGCCCGTGTTCTTTAATCGTGGTAAAGCACTTTTACATTTTACTTTATTCTTCTTCTGATATCATTAGATTAAGTTAGATGTCAATAGGGGGTGTAATTTTCGAAAAAAGGCTTAACATCTTTTAGATGACCTGTTCTTTAACTTTAACAACAAACTACTCCTTTGCTTCTTCTTACTGCTGTCTTTTGGCCACAACCCTGATCTTATGGTAGGTAAGATTTAACACAAACACCTAGCCTACTCGGATAAGGGCAAAAAATTTCGGAGGTCCCGAGTGCAAGTTGCAAAGATCTGTCAGTGGTTCTAAAATCGATAAGAGTAGGCTTCGTCTGTCACTCAAGCAAAATTCAAAATTCCTACCAAACTGAAAATGTTTGATGTCTCCCGTGCCCTCATATGACCTTTTAAGCAGTTGCGAGCGCTGTAAAACACTTTACCCCCCCCC